AGCTCAGCTTTGCTCTTCCTGGAGCTCCTTCGCACCGGGTAGAAATCTGTCAATTTTCTATTCTGCTGTGTTTTCCCTTGAGACCTGGGTGAGAAGGGAGGGAAGAAAATAAACACCAGGCTCACTTCTTGCACAAACACAGGAGGCAACGCCCTGTAAGTGTTGTTCAAACACCTGTGTGCACTGGGACCTGACTGCCCATCTGCTCACCTACCCAGGTGGGCCCCAGTATCAAGGACAACACATCACTTCCCTCTCTGGGGAAGAGCCAGGGAGGGAGGCCTTGACCTCGGGACCCATCACACAGAGACACAGGGAAACACCAGGAAGGTGATGACTCGGGAGAGGCCTGGCAGTGGACTACTCAACCACAATGGCTGCCTGAGTCAGGCCACATGACCAAGTGCTCTATGTTAGGAGAGGGCTCTGGGACACTTACTTTTTCCGAGGGGCCTGCTTGCCCTTGAGGGGCTTTTTCAGGGCCTGCCTGGCAACCACTGTATTCGTAGGATCCCATGACTGGGGTGGAGTTTTTGGAGATTCTGCTGCTTCAGATTTTTGGTTTGAAAAAGGTGCCAGGGGACCTCTCCTGGCGTCTTTGATCTTCTGTTCATCGGACTTCACAGAGCTTCGGATTGTATTTCCAGCATTTCTTTTCTCTGCAGCAGGGGTGGGGTGGGGGACAGGGATTTACTCTATGCACTGGTATCACCTGCGTTCTGAGATAGGCTAAGAACAGCATCATGGGAGTGTCATGAAGCTAGTGTCCAATAAGGCCAACGAGGCAGATCTATGTTGTGATTGAAACAATGGAGAGAGGAAGTCCTCCTAATGTGGACATGTGAGATCATGTGAAGTACTGCGGGTGGTCACGCTGGCCTGAGTGTTCAGCCATCAGCCTTTAGATACTGGGCTGCAGAAGCAAGGAAATGAGCTGTATTCTTAAAGCAAGAGCCAGCTAGCACTGATGGGTGGAGAGAGGGACACAGCCCAGACTCTTTTCCCCACTCACTGCCTGGCATGTTTCACTTCAGGTTCTTAGCCAAACAAGCCCTCCTTCTATAAAGGTTAAAGCTCCTAGAAATTCTCAGGATGGCATTGGGCAGACTGGCATGCATCCTGTCATGAGGCACTCATTCAATGGCAGTAGTGATATTACTGATAACATTGTGCAAGCAAGCCCTGTGCTGGTGAATTATGCTATTTTTAAAAATGGATCTAATAATTTACTTTTTAAAGTAACTAATGAAACACCCAGAGAAATAGATGGCACAGCAATTTTGGAAAATAGTTTGGCAGTTTCCTCACAAAATTAAACATACAATTACCTATGACCCAGCAATTCTACACTTAGACATCTACTCAAGGTAATTAAAAGCACATGTCTATGCAAAAATCTGTACATGAAACAAGGGGCTAATGCACACTAGTCAGAAATGCAAACAACCCAAATGCCCATTAGAGGGTGAACAGTTAAACAAAATGTGGTCTGCCCACACATGGGAAATGATTATGATTCAGCCATAAAAAGGCCTGAAGTATTGACACGCATACAACATACAACATGGACAGACTCTGGATGTGAAAAGGCCAGACACAAAAGGCCACATATCGCATGACTTCATTTGCATGAAATGTTCACAACAGGCAAAACTGCAGACCCAGAAAGGAGTTTCAGAGCTGCCTAGAGCTGGGGGGATGGGGAGTGCAAAGTAAGTCTTGTTTGTCTCTTTGGGACAGGGTTTCTCTGTGTAGATCTGGCTGTTCTGGAACACGCTCTGTAGACCAGGCTTGCCTCAAACTCAGAGATTCGCCTGCCTCTGTCACTGGAGTGCATGCGCCATCAAAGCCCAGCAGCGAAGTCAGTCTTAATGGGTGTGTTCTTTGTGTCGTCATGAAAACGTTCTGGACTTAGAGGTAGTAGTTGTGTGACTCGATAGACACTAAAAATCACTCAACTGCACACTTCTGAGCTGAGGTTGTAGCTAACTAGATAAGAGTAAAACCCTGCATGGTGGCACATGCCTATAATTCCAGCACACCTGTGAGGTGGATAAAATACAAGTTAAAAGTCATTCCTAGCTGCGTGGAAAGTTTGAGGCCAGCCTGACCATAGATCTTGTCTTGGGGGGAGGGAGCAGGTTAGGATGTAGCCCAGTGCTAGAGTGCTTGCCTATATGCCCAAAGTCTCTGGGTTCTATCCCCATCTCTACACAACAAGCAAATAAACTTTGATAGCTGAATTATAGCTCAATAAACACAAGAGGAAAAAGAAATGCATCAAAAGTATCCAGGAAGAGGCAGGTGGATGATCTCCTCTTGAGTTCGAGGTCAGCCTGGTCTATACAGCGAGTTCCAGGACAACTTCCAAAGCTGCACAGAGAAACCCTGTCTTGAAAAACCAAAAAAGTATCCAGGAAGCTGGATGTGGAAGCCAGGGAGATGGCTTAGTCAATAAAGTGACTGCCACATGGGCATGAGGCTGAGTTCGGACCCCAGCACAGGCATAAACAAAGCTGAGGAAGGGGTGAAAGGGAGGGCATGAGACAGCTTAGGTAAACACACTTGGCACCAAGCCTCTTTTCCTGAATTCCACCCTCAGGACCTTCATGGTAGGAGAAAACTGACTCCCGTGAGCATTCCTCTGAACCCCACATGTACACAGCGGGACAGAAACATCCACCCACAAGCATGCACACATACCAAATGAATAAGTGTAATCAGAACAAAAACCCTAAGTTCAGATCAGCCCCACTCCCCTCCATCCTCCTTTCTTGACAGGAAGCAGGTACAACCCTGGGAGTACAGTGTCCATTAACACCTGTGACATGTGTCTGTGCCACAGCACATCTGGCTGAGAGCCTGACCTTTCTCAGAAACCCCAATGTGACCCCAAACTCTAATGACTGCCATTTAGCCGTACTAGGACCAGTGATCTGGCTTGTGAGTCCCTATCATCCATCATCATGTGGACACATGGACAGTATTCACTCTACTCAATTTTGGAAGAGCTGCAAGGCGGCTATGGACTCAGACAGAGTCATTTGCCCACGCAGGGTGATAGGTGCCCGCCCTCCTGATAGCTGCAGACATAAGGGTGCAGAAAGATGAGGTCATGGCAGTGGGGCCGAGCTGGCAGCTGCCACATCAAAGGCCCTTCTACACACAAGCTTACTTACTCCCCCAAACAGCCCAACTGACAGATATGACAATTAGGTCTCACAGAAGAGCTGCAGCTTGCCCAAGCCTCCTCCTTCCTTCCAAGTGGCAGCTAGTTAGAACCTAAGCTATTTTGAGGCTGATTCAGACAACAGAGCCCTGTGCATGGGGGTGGGGCGGGAAATCAAGCTGAGAGACACAGGGCTCCCCCACATTAGCTCTCAAATACAGTCCTAGAAACTTCTGACCGTTTGCTTCTGTTAAGGAATACACAGATTTCTCCTATAAAGTCGCTGGCAACCGGGGCCCTGCTGTCTGGCAGGATTCATCTATCAGGAATGAGGTGTGGAGTGGACAGGAGTCTCAGATGCCCCACTAGAGCTTTAAAAGGGATGATCTGGAAGAAAGCAAGACTCTTGGAGGGTTCACCTTGTTTGTAAGTGGTGTCAGGAGCTGAGTCCAGGGCCTTACACTTGCTAGGCAAGCATTAGACCACTGAGCTATGTCCCCGGCCTATTTACTCTGGGCAGTGAGGTGGGACAAAGTCTCATACTTTAGGCCAGGCTTTGAAATCACTGCAACCCCGATTTGACTTTCTCTCCCCCGCTTTTTCCTTTTTTGTAAAGTGCTCAGGATCAAATCCAGGGTCTCACATGCTCGATAAGTACTTCACCACTGAGCCCCGCCACCAGCTACATCCAATATTTAACTCCAGATCTCACACACGGCATGTGCTGCTTTGGAAAGTAACACAAAACACTTGAATGGAAAGACACTGCAGAAGTGAGGTCAGGGCCTGCCATACAAGGTAAGTTAACCGATCCTGAGTTCACACCACACTGCAGTCGCCTACTCTGCACAACCTGGACTCGATTTTCCTGCATTCTTAACAATCATAAGCCTCTAAAATCACAGGCCGGGTGTGTTATTCTTGCAATGTGGCAAGACACGCCTGAAGGATATGTTAACTCTTGTCAAGGTTGGAAAAACCTGTCAGACCACGGGACACACACCCTGACACATCTTACTCTTTTCCACCTGTGTTTGCTTCTCACTAGTGAGAAGGAACATGGTTAATATCACCTGGGAAGGGTGTGTGTGTGAAAGCAGAAGGGGGCCATTTCAGGGCTTACCTTCCCGCTTCCTGTAAATTCCAGCTAATGGTTTCCCCTGGCATTTGACCTCGTGATGTGCAACGGAGTTCTCTTCCTGAAGAGGGGAGCGCATTCCAGAGCATTTGCTAGGACTCATGTAGGCATAGATCTTCGACTGCCCAGCAAACACGTTCTCCTAGAAAGACAAACACATATTCTCAAAGAGGCTTGAAAACAACAATCTCACAGCATTTGAAGGGAAGAAGGGAACAGAAGAATACAAAAGACAGATGTCAACACCATTCCAGGACAGGCCAACCCGGAGATGCCAGCCCCAGGAGAGCTCTCTCAGGAGAGCACTGGCATACTTTGCTGCCCTGGCCCCAGGTTCCCGAACTCATGGACCCTCTAAATCTGGTACCTAAAGAAAGTCTGGCCAGCGGAGGACAAGACAGTACATGAAGGTCCAGCCCGTTTAAGGAAAGAGCGAACATACCAGCAGCAAGGAGGTCAGAATGACCCAGGGACAACCCGACTCCGCATCTGAAGGGCTGGGCTGAGTCAGGGGTTAACTCCCCAGGCTAGGGAGTCAGCCACTAGCATAGAAACAGGCCTAAGGGAACCTGATTAGCCACTTGGTGCTGAGGCCAGCTGGGAGGACTTGCGCACTGCCTGAACCTTCCGCGACAGGCCTGGCCCCTCTCAAGCCACTGCGGCTCAGCGCCTCCCAGAACTGTGGCTGAGTGATGGGGGAGGCCAATGAGAGCTCAGGCTCTGGGCCAGCACATTTAGGGCGGTCACTCCACTGCAAACCGCACCTTGGCTCACACTGGGGCAGGCTCAAGGGGGGAGGATCCGTACAGGTCATTCCTGTGCTGGTGTCTTAGGGTGTGGGACGTCTACTGGAGTGATCACACACAGGAGGAAGGCTTTCCCAGAAACAATGCAGGGCCTGGCTGCCTGGTAAGCCACTCAATACCAAATCAGAAACTCTGCTAACTCTTGAGGTCCGCAAGCAGGCGCTCCACGCCCTTGGAAAGGCCACCTCCCGGGACCCTAGGTCTCGGGAAGGACTGAAAACGCCACAAGGCCACAATCAAACTTTTCGAGGTCAGTCACTGCCAGTGTCACGTTGGAGCTGGACGGCCACTCCTGGCCAGGCAGTAGATAAGGAAGCTGCCCCAAGCCGGTCCCACCGGCGAGCGCCGATGGGAGGCCCCCCCGCTGCGCCCACGTGCGCGAGGCCCGGGCCCGGTTGGTGCTGCTCAGTGCAGGGAGGGAGCCTGCTTACCCCGTTGCTGCGGGGCCTCCCCGGGCCCCTCTGCTCCACCATCTCCGGGCCCGGGGCCGTCGCCGCCGCCACTGCCGCCGCTGCCGCCTCCACCGCGCGGGGCTTGCACATCTTCCTGCCTGGAGAGGGGGGACCCGGGGGAAGCGGGGGAGGGGCGCTCAGGGCGCGGCGGCGCGGGCAGCGGGACCGCGGGGCCCGCCGCAGCCATGTCTCCAAGCCCGCACGCAGGGGGCCGGGCTGCGCCGTCCCGGGGCCGGAGCCCTCGCCGCGGCGCCCTCCCACCCGGCCCGGCCTGGGGGCCCCCTGCGCCCGCCCCAGCCCGCGCACCCGGGCCCGACACACCCACCTGCAGCCCAGCTAGGCCCATGGCGGCGCGGCCGGCGCCCTCGCCCTCGCCGCGGCCCGGCCACCAGCGCTGCCGCCGCCGCTGCTGCTGCTGTTGCCGCCGCCACCAGCGCCGCCGCGGCGCCCCGGGAAAGGGGCGGCGGCGTCCCACGGCGCCCGCTTCGCCCATGGCCCGCAGGAGGCCGGGCGCCCGCGCGCGCCGCAGCCGGGGCCCGGAGCGAGGCCGGGGACGGCGCGGGCAGGGGCGGCGCTGCCAGGCGCCTGCGGGGCGGGCGCGAGGGCGCGCGGCGGCCAATCCCGGCTCGGCTCGGCCCCTCGCGCGCGCGCCCCCGGCCACTCCGTGCGGAAACTGCACGGCGCCCTGAGTCCGCCGCGAGGCCGCGTCTGCATGCGTGGGATGTTCACGCGAGCCCCGGCGTCCACCTTGTGGGCATCCCGGTTGTAAGGTGGGGAGTATCCAGGGGGAACCACAGAACCAGGAAGAGATGGGCCTTCCTCCTAACCGGCGTTCTGCCTGTGGCCGGTAGGAGGCCCAGAGGAGCAGGAGAGCCCTGCCTGGCCTTGATAAGTTTGCTGGAGTGCTTCTCCCATGTTATCTTGTTCACTCCTCAGAACAACCCGAAGAAAAGAGACCGTTATTACCTCTTTCCTAAAAATGGGGAAACTGAGGCTCAGAGAAGCGAGGAACCTGGCCAAGTTCTTGCAGCCCAGGCCAACAGTTCAGAGAGACCGCACTCCTAGCCACAAATGGCCGTTACAGAAGAAGAAATTGAGAGTGGGAGGGGCAAACGGTGTGGCAGAAGGTTTAGCAGATTACCCACCTTGTGCTCCTGCGGCCCTCCCTGTAAGAAAAGTGCTAGGCAGACCGGGTTCCAGGCACTCTGGTGACTGTCAGCTTTACTTACTGCCTTGTGCCGCTGTGCAGTGCCTCTGTTAGGGCATGCGGGCTCACAGCCAAAGATTCGCTGTATTTGTGCAAAGTCATAGAGGCAAACAAGGCACTCGAAGGTACCCAGCTACTGCCTTACAAGAGCATTACGACCATAGCTAAGTGACTTTCCAAGTCTGGCCTTCTATGTCTTGGTAGCTAAACCCACAAAGCCTGTGTTTAATAACCTACTCGAGGGATCTTCCAAAGTCTACAGTAAAGGGGTGTTCAGGGCCACCTCTTCAAATTGCCTATTAAAAGGCCTAATACTGAGAAGGATTGCAGGCAGAACAAGGAATTCTCAGAACATTAACACTGTATCAGCTTGCTTTAATTAATAGCTTTCAAAGGCAGAGGCCCACGCTAGCCTCTAACTTCCCATCCCTTTGCAGATCCTACCACCCCAGAATACTGGAAACTATCCAGAAGTAGAAAAGATTCCGAAGTGACACTCACACACCCAGGATAAACCACGTGGACGTGCCTCCACTTCTGAGGTCACACAGATCTATAATTGGTAGTACATCAACCCTTCCAGCGCAGTTACTACTTTAACTCCATGCTCTTGCTGCATGTCAGTCCTCAGAAGCAGGACATGGACACCTATGAAAACCATTTGGTACAGAGGCCGCCCTTTATTTGCAGCTGTATATAACAAATACCCTATCAGCAAAAGGAGCTAAGTGGTAGAACACTCAGTGATAGAACACATGCCTAGCACACACAAAGACCTGGGTTCAATTCCAAATTCTGCAAATAACAACTACAAACAAACAACATCAACTATCCCATTTGAAACTGGACATGGTGGCTCATACCTCTAGTGTCCACTTGGCAACCTGAGGCAGGAGGATTGCAAATTTGAAGCCTCTCTGGGATATAAAGTAAAACACTGTTTCAAAAAAGATAAAAATAGCCGGGCGTTGGTGGCGCACGCCTTTAATCCCAGCACTCGGGAGGCAGAGGCAGGCGGATCTCTGTGAGTTCGAGGCCAGCCTGGTCTACAGAGCGAGTTCCAGGACAGCCTCCAAAGCCACAGAGAAACCCTGTCTCGAAAAACCAAAAAAAAAAAAAAAAAAAAAGATAAAAATAAAAAACCAAGAGAGAAATACAAACTCTCTGTTGCCTAGGATTTCCAAGAAGGAAACCATATACTGACAACAATATCACCAATAACTAACATAGCCTGAGTGTTTGTAGTGTGTTAGGTCCTTTAATAATCACCACATAGTTAAAACCTCGGATTATTAGCCAGGCACGTGGGAGGCAGAGACAGGAGGCTCTCTGTGAGTTCAAGGCCAGCCTGGTCTACAAAGTGAGTTCCAGGACAGCTAGGGCTGTTACACAAAGAAACTGTCTTGAAAAGCCACAAAAAAAAAAAAAAAAAAATGCTGGAGAGCAATTAGGTGGGAACTTGGGGTGAGGAGGGGTGGGGTGACTATTATGGAGTTGCTCCCAGGAGCAACGGGAGAACAGGAGAGTAAAAGTCATGTTATAAAATTTTGTATTCTTGGAGCTGGAGATATAGCTCAGAAGTTAAGAACACTGGCTGCTCTTTCAGGGGTCCTGAGTTCAACTCCCAGCAACCACATGGTGGCTCACAAATCATCTATAATTCGATCTGGTGCCCTCTATCTGGCAGAACACTGTATACATAATAAATATATCTCTAAAAGAAATCTGTATTCTTTAGCTGCTGAAAGAGGATGACATGAATTGTGTGGAGATGATGTAAGTGGAAGAAAGGAGAACAATCTGACAAGGGCGGAAGAGAAGGAGAAACAGTAGATGAGCTGACCGTCCTCAGAATAAAGCATACAGTGGCTCACTCCTGTAAGTCCTACACCAAACCAAGCCAAAATAGTATTATTTGGGCTGTATATGCCTTCCTGACTCCAAAGTTTCACAACAAATAAAATAACCCCAAAACAAGACACTTTTCAAAGTTAGAGAGATGCTACCTGGCATGTGAGTACTTTGTTCAAATGCCATACATACATAGTTGGACCCTCAGTGTGACATGAACATCTCTCTCTTCTTTCCTCTGCCTCCTCTTTTTTTTGGGGTTGGGGTGGAGAGTCTCACACTGACCTGGGCTGGCCTCCAACTCTCAGGAATTCTCCAGCCTCAGTGTCCAAACTTCTGAGACTGTAGGTATGAGTCACCCACACCTGGTCAAGGATGGACTTTCTAGGAGCTAAGGATGACGCTCAATAGTACACTTAGCATTCATCAGGCCCCGCTTTTCATCTCCAGAGTCACAAAAAACAAACAACCTCCCCCAGAGTGATTTTCAGGAGGAAAAAGCCTGGTCTTTTCATTTGATGTACTATAAAGGATGTGGTAATTATACCTATTAATGTTTAATTCAATACACTTGAGTCAGGCAGATTCACCAGGCCTGGCAGTGCCCTGACTAGTACCCAGCTACTTGGGAAGCTGAGGCAGAAGGACTGCTTGAATTCTAGGCCAGCCTGAGCTACAAAGTGAGTCTCTGTCTAAAATCAAAACCCAAAACAGGCTTGGGAAGGGTGTGGTAGTACACATTCTTACTTCAGCACTCCAGAGGCAGAGACAGGCAGGTCTCTGCATGAGGCTAGGCTAGCCTGGTCTGCACAGTGAGTTCCAGGCCAGCCAAGGGGGGGGCAGGGAGCATAAGAAAGTGGAAGAGTGTTTGCATAGCAAGTATGAGGCCCTAGGATTCAGTATCAATAAAACACACTGACAGACACACATGAGCAATTAAGTCGAAGGAACACATAGCTACTGATGAGGGTCATAAACCTACTAGACAGAAGCTGGACAACTTTGCCCTTAGCTTTGGCTCACCAAGGGAGGAGGCAGCCACATAACACAGACACAGCATGTCCAAAGTCTTCAACTTTAGACCTCACCTTTGACCTCTGAAGAACTAAATGAAATCATTTACATAGATCAACTGAGATAATAAAATGTTTTGATCTTAATAATAACAATTCCCATATTTCAATAATAGTTTTCTTTCTATAATTTAATTAAATCATGGGTTTTAGTTTTTTGAGACAAGGTTTCTTTGTGTAGCCCTGGCTGTCTTGGAACTTGCTTTGTTGACCGGGCTGGCCTCAAACAGAGATCCACCTGCCTCTGCCTCTGGAGTGCTGGGATTAAAGGCGTGCACCACCCTACACACAGACCAATCAAGTCAAATTTTTCTTTCACTCATACACAACTTTTCTAATGCACTGCTGTTTTGCCTGCAAGTATGCCAGTATACCACATACAGTGCCCTCGGAGATCAGAATGGTCTTCTGTAAGCACAGGGAGATGGCGGCTCAGTGGTTCAGAGCACTGGCTGCCCTGCTGGAGGACTCGGGGTTGATGCCCACCACCCACATGTCTGTCCACAACCTTCTGCAGCTCCAGTTTCAGTGTGACCCGACACCGTAACCTGGCCTCTGTGGTCACACAGGCACGCATGCCGACAAAGCACCCATACACGTTAAATAAAAATAATGAAGTTTTAAAAGTTAAAAAAAATAGGAAAAGTGAAGCAGGAAATCATTTTATAACTAAGTTGTCAGACAATTTAAATATGTTTAGATGCTTATTTTTTCTAAGAAAAATGTACCATTAAACTTGCCTGTTAATCTCTGAACTTGAGAGGTAGTCATGAGGATCACTGCAAGTTGGATGCCAGCTTGATCTATATAACAAGTTCTATTTCATTCAGGGCTATATAGTGAGGCTCTGTCTCAAAATAACGAAAAGGAAAAGGAGCTGGAGTTAAACTAGTGGAGAGGGGAGGAGGATGAGACTAGGTTTTTTTTTTTTGAGACTAGTGTTAATTTTCTCTGTTAACTGGGTTATGAAACACTTTAACGTGGCTCACTATGCCTCATTTCTGATTAGTATCCGAGAAGTCTTGTCCCCAAATACCCTATTAAGAATGCTGGGATGGCCGGGCAGTGGTGGTACACGCCTTTAATCCCAGCACTGGGGAGGCAGAGGCCAGGCTGGACCGACAGCCTCCAAAACAATACAGAGAAACCCTGTCTCGAAAAACCAAATATGTATATATATGCTGGGAGAATAAATGATGCAATAGGGTTCAGAGCATGCAAAGGGGACCAATAAATATTACCTTAATGAGTGGATATTTAATCTATGATTATTGTAGACAGAGCACATTACATTAAGGGAAATTCCCACTAACACGTTAGGTCTTGCCATTTAAATAAAAACGCAATACTCCAGCTTAAAAAAAAAAAACTCCAATCACGCTCAAGTTTTGGATTCTTTCGCTTGCGACAGAGCGACTAGAAGTAACCGGTCGCTTTTCCTGATAGCAAATATGTCTTTGAAGATGGACTTGCCTCGCGCGGAAGCACGAGTCCACCCACGCATCCCGGGTGTGCTGGAGTACTACCCAGCTTCGGGATGAACGGATGCTCCGGCCAAGCACTAGGGGGGACTCGAGTAACCCCGAAATGGACCACTGGGATCTAACTTAACCCCGCGGTGCAGAGCTGACTCAGGGGAGCGCACTGCCCAAGGTACAGGTCAGCAATCTGCGCCCTGCCTCGGGGTCACCTCCGTCAGCCAGGCTCGCGGCATCAATAACAACCGTTCCCTGGAGGGGCGCTGCGCTCAAGTTTCCAAAGAGCTTTGACTCTGGGATACACCAGCTCCGGGGAGACTGGCTGAACCGCAGGCGCCCACTCCTCTAGACCGGACAGCGCTGTCCGACACGGGAAACGGTGTACGGGAGCACCCAGGGTCCCGTGTCCCTCCGGGTCCCCGCGCTCCACCATAGGGGATGCTTGAGAGCGGCCGCTCCCGCCAGAGCGCTCCGTGCAGTGCGGCATCCCGCCAGGCACTTCCCTTGTGCCGGCCACCCTAGCAAATACCTCTGGCCATGGCCCCGCTCTGTCACCGCCTGGAATCTCCCGGGAAACCCAGCTTTCGAAAAAAGTTGCAACAACTGTAGCCAACTGCTCCACCAGTCCGCGGTTGCGGGTGCTGATTGGTGCGGTCTCCCGCTCTTTCGCGGGTTTCCCGCTGTGATTGGTACATTGAAGGCCAGGGCCCGCCCTTTCCCCCCCTCTCTGCAGAGGCAGGGCTTTCAGCCAGGTTGGGGGTAAGGGCTTTAAATTTGATCATCTCCTAGCACTGATTGGCTGAGCTAGAAAGACTCATCCGCTGCTATTGGGAGGGAGGGGCCTTAAGCTCCTCCTTCTCATGGCTGAAGCTCCGCCTCGAGGAGGTTTTCAATCTCCAGTAGGAGAACCAGGTTTGGAGGCCGGGGTGAGGGTGGGGGCGGGGGTGGGGATGGGGAGGGGAACTTCCGGTTTGCGGAAGGCTTGACCGGAAACAAGACCTTTGACCCGTCGACCTCTCCATATGCTTTTGGGTCGCCTAACGCATATATAAGTTTGTCATCTGCACTACCTTGACGTCCATTCTCATTTTGGCTCCTTCATTCGAATTCCTACGTTGCAAAGGCTTACTGCAAAAAGTATGTTCTTCCAATATGTAAACTGTGGGTACAACTGCGAGCTGGGTTAGTGAGTAAATGCAGAACCTCAAAATTACACCCCAAACCACCTGCCTATTTTACAGATGGGGTAATAGACTATCCAGGGCATTTTTGTTTTTTTGTTTCGTTTTGGTTTTTTTTTTTTTGACACAGGGTTTCTCTGTGTAGACTCGGCTGCCTTGGAGCTCACTCTGTAGAATAGGCTGGTCTCAAACTCAAAGAGATCTGCCTGCTGGGACTGAAGGCGGGCGCCACCACCACAAGGACAGCTATCCAGGAAATCTACTTGTTGCCCAGGATCACCGAACATTTGCCATTCAGGGTGAGGGTAAAATATCAGGACTGACAGTCTGCTACATAACGCCCTTAACTCCAGGAAAGCAACTCACCCAAGTGTCCTGAGTGTCCTTGGCCTTAGGCACAGGAAAGGTGTCATTACCTATTTTCTTTGTGGACTAAGAACATTTTGTTTATTCCATCCTTGTCAAGGATCTCGCCGCCACTGCACAAGGATAGCAGGAAAGCAAAACGAAGTGGTGTGGAATCCAGGCGTGTGGCTCAGAATTAGGGCCCAGAACATACAAGGCACTGAGCAGGGTCTTCCCCCAACACCAGAAAAATTTAGACCTCCCTGGACTACAGGGTGAGTTCTAGAGCAATTCAGAGATATTAGTTTGACACTAAAGAGTAAGAAAGATGTTAGCACATTGGCGGAGTACTTCCTTAGCAGGTTCAAGGCACTAGGTTAACCACAAGTACCACCACCCCAAAATAAAACATTAAACTGTGAGTTCCCAAGGATCCTCCTAACTTCAGTAAATATATAGAAGTTCTGTAAATTTTATTAACTCAGATCTGCTGTGATGGCTCATATCTGTAATCCTAAAACTTGGGTGGCTGAAACAGAATTGATGAGGATTTAAGATCAGCCTGGGCTATAGTGTGAGATCCTGTTGTTTTTGGTTTTTGTTTTAAAAATCCAGGCCAGGCAGTGGCCTTTTATCCAAGTAATCAGGAGGCAGAGGCAAGCAGATCTCTGAGTTTCAGGCCAGCCTGTTCTGTAGAATGAGTTCTGGGATAGGCTCCAAAGCTACACAGGGAAACTAACTCTGTCTTGAAAAACCAAAAAAAAAAGCCGGGCATTGGTGGCGCACGCCTTTAATCCCAGCACTCCGGAGGCAGAGGCAGGCGGATCTCTGTGAGTTCAAGGCCAGCCTGGTCTGCAAAGTGAGTTCCAGGACAGCCTCCAAAGCCACAGAGAAACCCTATCTCGAAAAAACCAAAAAAAAAAAAAAAATCCAGGCTTCTACTCATCTGCACAATGCATACACACAGTGAAACGTGTACCCAGACACACATACATACACATAACGACATAATGAAAAAAAAAATATATATATATATTTAGTTTTTCAAG